GGATAAGAAGCCATCATTGAAGCTAGGACGTGCATTATTTTCCACTATTTCTTCAATTAATCTTTCCTCTGAATAGTCATAATCATCGAATGGTTCTAATCTAACCAATAGTTCATAAATAACCATTCCTAGAGAATAGATATCAGATTGAAATGGATTAAAATTGTTGTTATCTTTAACTAAGAGTTCTGGAGCCATCCAATAGAGTGTTCTGGCGAACGATTTTTTTTGATTATTATTTAACAAGTTACTTTGATTAAATTTGGATAAACCAAAATCTGAAATCTTTATCACGCCTTCTTTAGTTAAAAGAATATTAGCTGTTCTGAGATCTCGATGAACGACTTTTTCGCTATGAATATAAGATAATCCTCACACTATCTCTCTAACCATTCTAATACTGGAATCTAAGTTTAAGTATGGAGATTTTCTAACAAAGTTCTCTAAAGAACCATTTTCAGCATATTCCATAATGATAAAGAAATCATTGGTTTCTTTTTTATGATATTCTCCGTAATATTGAATAGTGTATTTACTACGCAAATTCTTTAGAAGTTTCAACTCCTCTTTAATCTTGTTTAAATCCTCATCACTTTTAACACTAAAAGGTTTCTTTACAGCCACTGATTGGGTTTTTCATTTTCCTAAATAGACAGAGCCAAATCCTCCACTTCCTAACTCTTTATCCCCTAATTTAGGTTCTTGATCGTCAAATAAAGGTTTAAATTCTTCGTTTTCTATCTTTAGTGACTTGTTTTCACTAATTAAATCCTCAGAATCAGCTCTTAATCTCGAAACCATCTCTTTAGTAGCGGGGTTTTGATAAAATCTTTCAATTACCTCTTCAGTATTTATTGACTCTGAATTTTTAATAAGAGGAATTAAGATTTCTTTTAAAGAAATTTTTAACTCATTGTACTTTTCTTGATAGTTTTGCTCAGGATTTTCTAACAGCTTAGCTTGATAAAACTTTCAATCATTGTCATATTTTTTTAAAATAGTGGTAAGTCGTGTAGATTCAAAAGAAAATTCTTCTAATGATAAAGGTAGATATTTAATACCGAAAGATATTTTTTTATTGCTGTCAATTTTTAGTGTTTTTAAGTTAGATAGATTTTCTAAGAAACTTAGGTTTTTTAGGTTGTTATTACAAACATCAATTGAGTTAATATTGGGACAATTGATGATAGTTAGAGTTTCTAACTCACAATTATAAAATCTGATTTTTTCTAGGCTATGGCAGTTTTTTAAATTTAAATTGCTGATGCAAGTGATATCAGAAATGTTTATTTCTCTTAAATTTGGATAATCTTCAATAATTAGTTGGCCATAAAAATCATCATATTCTATTTCAATTTCTTCACTATTTTTGGGAAATTCTTTATTAAATCATTCTTGGTTATTAGTCATGGTTATTTATTAATTTTTAAAATGTGCGTGTTTATTTATTAACATTAATTACTTGGTAAATTGTTCAATTACTTCATAAGTTTCTTCTTTTATTTCTTCATTTTCTAATCTAACTATCTTATCACAATTTTTAACGATTTCATTAATGGTTTCTTTAGAAAGCATGCTCTTTATCAGTTCATTTAGTGATTTAATTTTTTCTCGGATTTCTTTATTTTCTTGATTTCTGGTGAATTCTTTTCTAAGGTTAACGAATTCTACGAAAAAATGTTGCTGATCTTCATCTAATGTTTTTTTTAAGAAGTTTAATTCTCTCTCGAGGATCTGGATTTCATTTTTGTCTTCGCTTTTTGTAGTGTTTTCACTCGAGATTGAGAGGTTTTGAATCTTATCAACTATTTTTCATTTTTTACTAGTTAAAGAAACTGAGGGATGACATTGGGAAAGTGCAATAATTTTAGTTTGAATTCTTTTGTTATGTTCTTCACACTCTAGGCACTGTTTATAGAATTTAGTGTCTTTTTTTATCTCACACTCCGCTTCCTCATTTTCCTGAAAAGGTTCTAACCAATTATCAAAAGTTTCATGCAATTCTTTAACATTAGGTCTTTTTTTGGGTTCTGCACTTCAGCAACTTTTTATTAAATCAATTAGCAATAGAGGAAACTTCATTTTGGATTTTGTTCAGTCAGGACGATAATTATCAAAAACTACTTTTTTTGCTAAATTGTTCCAATCTTCATCATAATATGGAACAGCTCCTGTCAATAATTCATAAGCAATCATACCAAAAGCATAGACGTCCGAAGATTGAGTGTAGAAATTACCCAGAAGTAATTCTGGAGCAACATAAGGAAGGACACCGAAAACTTTGCCGTTTTCTTGCGATGATAAATGAGAAGTGCCAAAATCAGAAATTAAAATCCTTGAATCATGGACTAAGATATTTCCGCTATGAAAATCACCGTGAACAAGATTTCTTTCATGCAATTCCTTTAATCCACGAGAAACCCTAGCTAAATAGTCTACTTTTTTTTTAAAAGTGAATTTCTTTCAATTATTTTTCAAATAATCTCTTAGATCGCCCTCCTCAGCAAATTCAAATACAATGATTTTATTTCCACTAGAATCCTGAGAGATTCCGTGGCATTCAATGGTTCATGTTCCAGAAGTTCTAGGAAGCAAAAAAAGTTCATAATTATTTACTTCCTGATAAAATTTTTCTTCTGAAAAATTATCCTTATCGAAAACCTTTAGAGCAACAGTTTTAATTTCTCGTTCGGATTTGGTTCATTCGGCTCTATAGATTGTCCCATACCCCCCTTCACCTATTTTTTCGAGGTCATTAAATGATGAGTAAGGAAGAAACTTAAAATTTTTTTTTCTATGATAAAGTCAATCATCAATTTCTAGTTTTATTTCAGTAATTTTACTCTTTGGCCTTAAACTGAAGGAGTAGTCAATTTTTTCTAAACTTTTAGGCAAATATTTTACTCCTTCATTAATATCGGTATTGGAAATGTCTAGTCACTGCAAATTATTCAAATTTTTTAAATAAATCAAAGAGCCAGAAAAGTTATTATAAAATCTAGGCTTTGTTGCTCCCGCCACTCTATATCTATAATTTCCAATCCTTAATCCTTTTAGATTATTCATTTTTTGGAAGAGAGACAGATCATGAAAAGATAAGTTATTATTTCCCAAACTTAAAAAAGTTAATTTGTCAATTTCGGAAGGAAATGTTATTTTTTTAAGTTGATTATTATTGCACACAATTTCTTCTAATTGGGAACATCCACTCAAGTTCAAATCGACTAGTTGATTATAAGAACAATCTAAATCTGCTAGATTAGTAACATTATTAATGTTAAGATTAGTAATTTTATTGTTGTAACAATCTAACTTTCTTAGTTGACTAAGGTTACTTAAATCTAAACCAATTAGTTCATTATTAGAGCAATTAATTTCTTCTAACTTTTGGCAATTTTTAAGTCAGAGTTCAGTTAACTTATTATCATGACAATCCAATTTTTTTAAATCAACAAAGTCTGAGAGATCTAATTTACCCTCAAGTGATTTTTTATTAAAGACATTATTAAGTTTGCCAAAACTCAATTCCTTTTCTTTCTCTCTTTCTTTTGGGGTAGGATATTGCTGATTAATATAATCTTGAGCATTTAGGCATTTAATGATTTCAACTCCTCTTGGTTTATTTTGAAAGATTACTTTAGATTCATCTACCTGAGCAGAGACATAGATTTTTGAACCACCCCCAAGCAAATTATAAGTAAAATCTCTTAAGTCCAATTCTCCCTCTAAATCAGATTCACTTAAATATATTTCTCTAACTTCACTTCTTATTTCTTTCGGATACATCTTATCCAATCACTCCTGAGCTTTTACCATAATAGTTTATTTATAAAATAATTTACTAATTCACTGCTAGCAAACCTTACCAAGAATAAATTAGTAAATTACATTACTTATATTATTTCATAACCGAGGGCTTTCCCCTTACCCTCGGCTTATTCAGTTTAGTTATTTTACTCACTAATTACCCGCTTCATCCTCAATCGGACCATTTCATCAGTCAACCAATCTTTCTCAGAAGACTATGGCTATGGCAATACCAGTTAATACAATAGTTCCCCCGGCAATATACCACAGTTTGTATTTTTCCCAGTGACCACTTTCGGTAGTGGGAGTAGGAGTTTCTGGTCCCGTTGGGCCTTGGGTAGCCAGTTGGTGAGCTTTCCCGTCCGCTTCTTCGTACAGGAATTTCTTAATTCCAGCTACTACTTTACTGTCATCAGTTTCGTCATCCCAATACTGGGTTAAATCTAAGGCCTGATTATCAGCATCCCGATAAGCCTTCATCGTGTTGATTAGGCTGGCTTTTTGGCTGGGTTCACTAGCTTTTTCATAGTAAAGAATTTCCTTAATTATGTGATCCGGGTTTTCGCTACTAAAATCGGCCCAAGTTCAGGTGCTATCTTGCCCTTGCATATGGGTGGCGAAAGCATCAGCTTTGGTACCACCTGGTCGGTAATCTCGCACTAAGTTTTCAATGGCTATTTTATCTTGAAAGCGTTGGGTAGTTTGCCATTTAGTTACTTCGGCATCTCCTAAACTAGAATTGGCCAAGACTCTTTTTAGTTTCCGGGCCGTTAGTTCAGTAGTTGGTGCTTCCGGATTATCTAAGAAATCAGTGATGTCATTTAATTCTTGGTCTTCGATGGGTGATAGTTTGCGAAAGTTACTGATTTGGGTTAACGCGGCTTTCACTAAATTTAAGTGTTCATTACGATAACTATCAGTGACAAAAGAAGAATTATTAATTCTTTCCTGTAAGGAATTCCCCACCACTTCTAATCAATTATAGACCAGACCAATAAGCCCCTGTTTTTCGAGATTAAATAAACTGTTGATAATGGTATCTAATCGCCGTTTGTAGCCTTGGTATTCAGCATCCAGAGTTTCGCAAGCAGCAATTGCTGGTAGTAATTGATTGCGCATTAAATAAAGTTCTTGGGGGAAATATTTCTTATTCGGATCCGTGCCATCCCCATAAATCTGGATAAACTTCTCTTTCAGTTGCGGAACACTGAGTCCTCTTCTAATATCAATCATTTCTTTCAGCACCCGGGATACTCTTGATGAGTTTAGAAAAAAAAAAATGGAACAAGTTGGTGATAATTGGTTAACTATTTTTTCACAGTCATTCAGACATTACATTTCTCCAACTTCCCAAGGTAACGACATAAAACTTAGAACTCGTAAAGAAAATCCCGCCGAAATTGATTACTGACATGATAAAGAAGATTATGAATTCACTGAATACGATAAAATAATCACTCAAACGCAAAATGAATTTAGTCAATTTCACGTGAAATTAAAAGAACTCATGAACCGGTGAGGGATTGCTAACCAACAATTAGAGAATTCCCGGGCTCAATTAGCTGAAAACCAAATAAGTATCCGGGTGCTGAAAGAAATGAGGTAGTAGAAATAATAACTTCGGTAAAGCCAGAAGTGAGATTACTAGATTAGATATTAGTAAGCAAAATTTAGAAAGCACCTTAGATTTAGTTGGATTTAGTAATTTAAGAGAATTATCTTGCTATAATAACCAACTAACTAGTTTAGATCTGAAAGATTGTGAGAAGTTAGAAACTTTATGATGTGGCAATAACCAACTCGCTAGTTTAATTTTACCTACTCAGAGTAATTTAAAAATATTATCTTGCTCCGATAATCTCCTGACTAATCTGAATTGGGATGCTTTGTGGGCAGAAAAATTAGTTTCTCTTAACTTAGCCAATAATAATTTCCCAAGCCAAGATTTAAGTTGCTTAAGTAGATTTATTAATTTGGGGTGATTATATCTGGGAAATGATGACGCAATCAAGTTCAAACAAGGAATTTATAATCGTTGAGTCGGTTCTCTGAAGTATTTACGGGATATGAGTAAATTATTATGACATTTAGATATCTCTAATACTGACCTCAATAGTGGAGTAGAAGCTTTACCAATGAGTTTGATTGGTTATAATAAAATCACCTATTCCACCCAAGCCCGACCAACCAGTAAAGTGAAAGAAATTACTAAACTATTAGATTTATTTACTAATGGAAATTATAAAAACTGAAAAAAGTTGGGATTTGCTGAAGCAGAAATTAATTCTTGGTTAGAGATTGGTTTAAAAGTTTATGAATACAACCTTGCTAACCAATGAAAACAATCAGGTTTTGACTCCCAACAAACTAAACAGTGAATAAATATCGGATTAACAATTCATGACTATGAAATCGCTAACTACTTCCAAAATAGAAAAAATCTGACTCCCCAAGCTGCTCAGCAAGAAAACTTAAAATGAAAAACTATCCATTCCGGTTTTACTTGGCAACTGCAAAAAGAGTGAGAAGAAAAAGGATTTAATTATGAACAAGTCAAGAATTTAATTAATAATACTTGCCTAACACCTAACGATTTTGATTTTGCTTATTACTTGGTAAAGCAAGGGAATTCTATAAAAGAAATCATAAACCTTGATAATTTAGCCGAATTAAAAGCCAGATATCAAAAATTTGGCTTATGTGCTGCTTGTCGGCAAATTAATTCTGGTTGAGATTGATGTCAATTTTGTGTTAATGAACTCATCCAAAAACCTCAACTAGAAGCCACTAACAAATTTAAAGAGTTTAAACAATGAATTCCTTACCAACAATTTACTAATATCCAACATTTAACTAATGGTGGATTTAGTAGGGTATATAGGGCAAGATGAAAAAGTCAAGTTGTAATTTTAAAAGCACTAACTAATTCTCAAAATATCACCAGTAGTAGTTTTTTACAAGAAGTTACTAATTACAAATTGTTTAGTAGTCGTGATAATATTGTCCAATGTTATGGTATTTCTAGAGAACCTATTACGGGTAATTATATAATGATTATGGATTATATGGAGGGAGGTGATTTAAGAAAATATTTACGAAATAATTACAGTAGATTAGAATTTGAAACTAAATTTATTAAACTATCTTTCATTGCTCGGGGATTAAAAAATATTCATGACCAAGGCTTGGTTCATAAAGATTTCCATACTGGAAATATACTAAGTAGAATAGGTGTGATGAGGTATTCTCCTTGCTATATCAGTGATTTAGGCTTATGTAGACCAGTAAATGAAACAGATAATAGTAAAGTCTATGGAGTATTGCCTTATATTGCCCCGGAAGTTCTCCGCGGAGAACCTTACACCCAAGCTGCTGATATTTATTCTTTTGGCATGGTGGCTACTGAAGTACTGACTGGTTGCCCTCCTTTTGCTGAGTATGCTCATGATACAGCCTTGGCTTTGAGAATTTGTGCTGGATTAAGACCAGAATTCAAAATAAAAATACCCCAATTATTAGCGGATTTAATTAGCAGATGTTGAAATGCAGATCCTCGGCAACGTCCAACTGCAAATCAATTAAATATTTCTTTATTTTCTTGGCAAGTTAAAATTTATGACGAAAATGAATTCGCCTACCAACTCCGAGAATCAGAAAAATACAACCAATCTTTACCGGAAGAAATCAGATTTCCAAACTATAAATTACATCCCCAAGCAATTTATACTAGTAGACTAATAGATACCAAGAGTATTACTGAGCAACTAAC